GGGTTTCTCCCAAATTTGCTCCAAGCCTTTGATGGCTCAGTTTCCCCTCTCTTGACATGCTTCTCTGTGGGGTCCAGATGCATCCCGGTGAACTGCTTTTCAGAGACTGTCTGCTCTGCCACAGCTGTCAGCTTTTTCTTTGCTCCTGTACAAGCCTCCATCACATCTCCTCCCAGGGCCTTTGTAGAGCCTCTGCTTTGTGCTGGGGACTAGGGAGAAACAAGGACTCTCTTCTCTAATGTCAGTGATCTCAACGGTGCTGACAGGCTCTGTGGAGATTAGTGCAAGACTGCAATTTCCCTTTCTAGGCTTGATACCAAATCCCATACATCAACACTCCTGAGATTATGCTTTAGATGGAAGACAGTAATACCCTAAACTTAGACAGACCTTTGTAACTTATGAAGTCCCATCATATGAGTTACATTGACTCCCTACAATCACAGTGTTGATTGATATTAAGTCCATTTAAAATTGCAGAGAGGAGAGGTAATTTTCCCAATGTTAAACAACTAATCAGCACTAACAATGGACCTATATAACCCAGAACAATGATCTCATGTCCAAGACTCTTTCCATTTATTTCCCCATTAGATCACCTACAACTTACAAACCTTAAGAGAACTGTAGAAATATAATACTCATACTACCTATTTACACACCCTCCTAATTGATTTTGTGCCATGGAAGGGAAAGTGAGACTGTTTTGTATTATTTTATTTATTATACTGGGTCCTCACTACAGTGCAAAAGAAAATAATTTATAGGTCCATTAGGATATTTCAAGTTCAAATTTTTCTTCCAATACATATTTGTTTCATACTTACTGTACGCCACATGGTTGAGATATAATAATGAACAAAATCGACAGTCCCTGCTCTTGTGAAGCTTCAAGCTGAAGGTTGTTGTTGTTTTTGGGTGCCACTGAGTTGACTACAGCTCACAGAGACCCGATGAATGACAGAGCTGAACCTCGCCCTCTCCTGTGCCTGCCTCACCGTCTTCACTAAGCTTAAGCCCATTCTTAGGGTCACTGTGTCGATCCAATCCATGTCAGTGAAGATTTTCCTTTCACTGACCCAGAGTTCTACATAAGTCTAATGTAGAATGCAATTAGAATAGAAGATGAAGAGAGCAACAAAAATAATAGCAAATAACTTTTTTTCTGGTGCTTAAATTCAAGCATTGCATTTTCTCTCTCACTTATTAGTAAGGAACCTGAAGCAGTCAATTCTATGTATGTATTAAAATAAATTATGGGTAGCACTGTGAAGGACAGGAATTCTAGAACACTATATTTTGCCAATGTGGAACCTGTACAGAGACCAAGAGATATCATTTGAACAGAACAAGGAGATATAGTGTGACTTTAAAAGCAGGACTGAGGAGCATCAGGATTGTAGCCTTTTACTGTTCCTATTCAATCTATGTGCTGAACAAATTATTCCACTAGCTGGGCTATATGCAGCAGAATGAGGAATCAAGATGCCATTTATACAAACAACTTTCCTTGCTGGGGAAGGAAGTTCCTCAAAGGAAGGAAGTTTTTCCTTAAAGAGGACTTGAAGTAATTACTAATTAAATTAAAAGACTGTGACCTTCAGTGTGGATTATACCTCAGCATAAAGAAAGCAAAGATCTTCACAAGTGGACCTACAGCACTCACATGGTAAATGAGAAAATATTACAAATGTCAGGGATTTTTATCCTACTTGGATCGATAATGTCCGTGAAAGCAGTAGTCAGTAAATCAAATAATGGATTATACTGAGGAATTCTGCTGCAGAAGACTGTGAAGTGCTCAAAGATGCCCCTTTGATAACTATCACGCAGCTAACCGAAGCCGTTGTATGTAAAATTGCCTTGATTGCATGGACAGTGAATAAGGAAGTCCAAAGATGCCTTTAAGTCATGACCCCGAACCAGAAGAACCAGCTGGTGTCTGGCTGTTACTGTTGGCTATTGTGAATTACAATAGTAAGGCTGACGGAGTGGGAGAATAATGTAGAACAAAACTCAAAATCATAAAAAAGGCCACACTTACTGGTTTGCCAGAGACCTGTAGAACCACCGAGACTATGATCTTTAGACACTCTTCAGCCTGAAATTGAAATCACCCTGAGACTCAACTTTGAACCAAACAGGCCTAAAGCATGATCAGTAACACCACGGAGGAGCATGCAAGCCATGTGAGAGCAAAAGAGCAATATTTTCCCAGTGATAAAGTTCAGAAGGCAGGAAGGGATAAGAAAGAAGGATGCATAGAAACAGGAAGAGCAGGGAGGCCGTGGGAACCTGCTGTTACAAGGTGGGGACTGTAATTGACGTCACTCACATAACACAATGTTTAGGAACTATTAAAACCAATTTTTTCTATAAACAATTCACATTTTTAAAATCCAATAAATAAGTTATGGCATTGGGAAGAATGTTAAACAGAACGCGAACTGCCAGATAAACAAACCAATGTGTCTTGGAAGACAAAGTGCTGCTTAACAGTGACAATGGTTAAAAAAAGTGATGATGGTGAAATTTGTCTCAAATACTTTGGACATACTGTCAGGAGAGACCAGTCAATTGCAAAAGACACTTCTTGGCAAAGCAGAGTGTCAGGAAAAGAGGAAGACCTTACATTGCTTGAATTACAATGCTTGAATGTAAGGAGATGAATTGATGCAGTGGCTATAATACTGTGCTCACACACAACAGGTATAAGGATAGATCAGGACTGGGAAGTGTTTGCTGTGTTGTGCCTAAGGTGCCTGTAACTCAGACCTTACCCGAGAGCATGTAAAGGCAGAAGGTTATTGTCAAGGAGAACGCATGCAGGTTACTTCATATGACAAGAAATTCAAGCTAAAAACTCAAACTCATTGCTCTGGAGTCAGGACCAACTCATAGCTGACCCTCCAGTGGGTTTCTGTGATACTGTGACTCACACGGGAGGAAATGGCCCATCTTTTTCCTGTGGGACCACTGGAGGATTCAGACTGTCAGAGGAGAGCAACCTTTGGGTTGACAGCACAACTCCCTGTGGACCAGGCCATCAGAGCTCCCTGATGAGAGATGACTGGGAGGAAATCGGGGAAATTGAAGCAGCATGGAAAACTAGTGATTCTGGGTCCTAGTACTTCCAAACTGGGCCCAGGGCAGACCATTATGCTTACCATATCTACTTTATTGTGTAGGTTTTTCTGTTTGTTTGTTATGTATTTCCATCTGTTAGTATTATATGTCTGGCACAGGTTGGCTTATCCTTGTCAATGCCTTTGACTGGAATCAATTACCTTTGATTGACACACCAAACTCTTGTCCACTGTTTTACTGGAGGAACTGTTAAGATGGAGGAACGTACAAAATAGAAGCCTAAGCAAATGTGTGGAGAAAATAATGCCCTAAAACGATGTATTTTGAAGGGGTTTATGGAATTAGCAAGTGAGGATATAGGTACTTCTTTTCTAGCAGTATCTCTAAGGTGTGCCTGTAATAATAATAGTCATAAGCACTGTTCTTTTTAGAAAGAAATTGCCAGGTGGTCAACAATCACTTTAAAACAAAGATAACAATGTAAGAGGTCAGGGAAACTAGATTAACAGAAACAGAACAACCAGAGCAGAAATGAGAATGTGCACATTGTGAAGAATGTAACCAATGTCTCTGAACAACTTGAGTATAGATTGTTGGATGAGAACTTAACATGATGTCTAAACCTTCATCAAAAACAAATACAATTATTATTATTATTTGGGGCTGAGGGAAGATGAGAGCAGAGAGAGGAACTAAATTTAGAACTTTGGCACAAAGGGTCATCACGTCTAAATATAGATTAGTCAAAATGATAAGAATTCACCAGCAGTGAACAAAATTTCCTAAGTGTCACTAAGAAAAAGATGATAAATGGAAATTTCCATAATGAGGGCAAAGTTTAAAAAGAACTTTTTAGAAAAATCTTGAGAAGTCATTAATTTCCTATTCAACTCACGTTCCCATGGAGTAGGAACTGATTCATAGTGGACCATCCAGTAGCTTTCCAAGGGTGTTGATTGCGTGGATGAGATTACCCGTCTTTCCTCCTGTGGAGCTGATGGTGGATTAAAACCAACCAGAGAGGCACCGCCTTTATGTTAGCAGCACAACTGCCTATGGCCGAGGATCTTTCCTATACATGTTCTGCCAAGTTGGCTAATTTAAATGGTTCTAGGCTTCACACTGATTCACTCACTCACTTACGACCGACTGACTCTCCTCAAGTTTCCAAGCCTGTAATTTGAGTGGAAAGAGACTGTCCATCTTTCTCCAGATAATTCAAACTACCAGAATGACGTAGCCTTTGAGTTAGCAGCACAACTCACTATGAACTGCTCCACCAGCATTCCCTTTGACACTGATTAGAAATAAGAAACAATAACACATACTTAGAGCTGTCTTCTGCAACATATAATCACAGAGAACATTTAAATAGTCAAAAGAAGGAGGAAGAAAAATTCCCTTTGCACACTTCTCTGAGGTTGATGCTGTATCTCTTTACAGAGAATAAAACTGGACCCAGCTTCTTCAGATTCCTCTGGTGTTTTGGTTTTTTTTAATTGTTTTTTTTTTTATTCCTCTGGTTTAACCGATTTACTCATGTTTACATAGAAAAACAAAGTCAAACACATGTTGTTTTCTCACCAAAGCGTTTATCTGGTTTCTTTGGTTGAAAATGATTCTGTTCTAAATTGTTTTTCCTTAGTTATGTGCTTTCCTGTTTCTGAGTGTTCTGCTTGGTGTGTGTGTACTTGTATTCACTGACAGGAAAGGTGGCTTGTTCTACCGGTATTGTTCTCATCCACAATACCTGTAGAAAGTCATTCTCCTAATCTGGGTCACGTGCTGTAGATTCCGTACACATGCTTGGCTTTTTCCGACTGAACCTGACATGTTATCTTACAATCTCTGGTTTTCCTTTACAAAGAACATTAAATCCCACTCAACCTTTCACACCATTTGTTTTTTTCCAGACTGCTGGCAGAGGATGTAGGGATGGACATCCCCTTTGAGGAGGGAATGCTGAGCCCCAGTGCTGCAGACATGAGGCCTGGTGAGAGGAGCCTTTCTTCATTTTCTTCAGTGCTATTCTGCATCCAGACATTTTTATTATTCAGTGAGAAGACCATTTCCTGTGCATCCAACTTGTGACTTTAGTGTTAAAAGTGAAGAAGAGGGGAGAAAAAAAAAGTGGGGAAGAAGGCGCTAGGCTTGATCTGCTTTGGAGTTGATGTGACTATTAATGCTCACTACGGGGCGGGGAGTGTCACATTTTTTCCTGCTGGGTCATGACCTCAGCTCCCAATACTTCCAATCTTTGGTAACAGGCAACTGTGTGCCATAATGTCAAGTTCTGATGGGAGTCTAAGCTCACTAAATTCACTCTTAAAAGTGAGAATGTGCACAGGCCACTTTACTATGCATTTCTTTTCCTGTAGTCTTGTCATGAAAATAATACCTAATCCTATATGCCTTTTAATCAGTTCTCTCCCTCATCTGTTTCAATGCTTTCTGGGGGGGTATTGTATCACAATGAAAGACTTTTTCTTTTTCTTTTCAAAGAGAAAAATGAACTAGGGGGAGGGGTGGGCAGGGAGGTAAGTGTGCAATAATGAATGAATGAATGGGGAAAAATTAAATGGAAAGAATATGCTGTAAAATATAATCTGTATATGTATATGTGTATATATACATATATATTGCATTAAAATAATTAATAAAAAATTTTAAAAGGATTAACAAAAAAATCCTAAAAACAAAACCCAAAAAACAATAACAACAAAAAACCCTCATATCTTTAATAAAGAGCTCTGCTGACCTAGTGATAAGAAACTGCTCTACCATCTCAAAGGCACGTAGTTTGAATCCACCTGCTGCTCCATGGAACAGGACCAGAAATGTCTCACATAACTGCCTCTGAAAACCCACTGAATGATTAGCTGTGGGTCGTTTCCAACTCAATGACACACAACAACTACATCACATTTAATATGCTTTAATATACTTTTCTCAAGAAATCTCTTATCCTAGGGCAAATAATTTACCCTAAATTCTTCTTTTGATTATAACAATCTAAACTCTACTTAACTTGTTTCCAAATACTTGTGATAAAGGCATTCCCCTTTTCAAAGAAAAAAAAAGTGAGAATGTTTAAAATTGGAAATATATCCAAAAAATTCAGTATTCTGATCCTAAACAAACAAAAATGAACAACTGGCACCCTAAGAATTTATAATCCAAGGCATATACTTAAAATAATGAATTTGTACGTTAAACCTATAGATTCCGACTTAGTTTGAAAGTCACTCTCTTGTACTACAGCAGCTTCAGACTCATTCCAAGAGAGGCATTTCTGCTGAACACTGGTATTATCAGCCAAGCCCACAACAGGGCAGGAAGAGGGAAAATAATTACATGACTTATTTTTCTGTTCTATTGCCCAAAGTATCTTCTTCAAAATTCTAATCACGTAACATAGTTTTCATTTTAGTTTTCTGTGGCCAAGTGAACTTGGTAGTCACTATCTGTCTACCTACCTCACTCTTCAAGATTCCTAGTGAAGTTTCTAGTGAGTCATAAAAAAGGTGCTTAAACTCTCTGTAACCAGGTGGCTTTTTAATTAAAATTTCAGATAAAATGGAAAAGTTTAGTTCTTTAGTTGCCTTGTCTATATTGCAAATGCCCAGTAGTGATATGTAAAGCATATCTATCTCCATAGATAATTCCTTGGAGAAAGATAGTATAAAATTCAGTGTACAATAATTAAACATAATGTATACAAGGGGTGTTTTTTTTAAATGCAGACCAATAAATACCCCCAAAAACTAAAAATAAAAAGCAAAAGCAAACAGACAAATTTCTTGGATGACACTCCATGTAGCATTCCTGCAGTGAAGGAACTTTGTAACGTGCAGTGTTTCTTGAACTTCCGGGACCGTATAAACTTTTTTCAAGCAACATTAAAATACTACATGAATCACCACATGGCTGCTATTTTATAAAAATGAAAATCTTAATGACAAAAGAAACTGCATCGACTTCCTTAGAACGAGGTCAGGGCCAGGGCTCTGGAGTTGAAGCAGCAGCTGACTTTCCTGCCAGGAATCTTCTGGATTCTCTAGTTAGGCTGCCTCTCTAACTTGGCATGGACTTGTCTGGAGCTGAAAGGAATCGGAGAGATGGACATTTCTCTGGCATTGCATCTGTTATACGAAAGATGGTGCAGCAAGACATGTGCACTACAAGGAAAGAGTGGGGCTCCTTCCATTTGCCTTCACGTGAGAGGACCATGCATGATGTCAGAACCATTGTTGAGTAAAAGAGGTCTGTGAGAAATGTACAGCTTGGAACAACCATCAAGACCAAATGCAGCGTTTGCCCTAAAGTAACGTTCAGAAGACAGGAAAAGGCAGGGAAATAGTTTATTAGAAACAGGGAACCCACGAATGAAGTGGAAAAGATGCTGTTGTGTTGAGGGGGGCTTCTGAACTCCAGGGACCAAAGGCCAGGTTTCCTCCCACCACCACAACCACTGGGTCCCCTCAGTGATAAGCCTTTGTAACCCTCCTGCCCTCACCCCTGAGAGAGAAGATGCAGCCACGTGACGGAGGGAGGTACCTCGCTGCAGCTCACCTGGAGCAGAAAGGGACAAGGGGACGTTTCTCTCAGACCAACAGTGGATGAATGAGCACCTACTGTGTGCAGGCCTGTGAAGGGCAAGGTATGGTCCCCGCCTTCCGGGAATGCATCATCTAGAGACAGGAGGACAGGAGAGACCAAAGTGATTAAAGGGCCGTGTTGAGTAAAAACTTCTGGGATTATTTAAAATTGGTAATTTCTGATATATTAATTTCACATCAACTTTGAAAAAAATAACAACTACTTGACTCAATTACTTGTTATGCTTCAGAGAGCTGGACAATAACTGAGAATGACAGAAGAATAGATAGATGCCTTCGTGTTGTGGTGCTGGAGAAGAGTCTTGAACAAATTGGTCTGTCTTGGAGAGGGTGAAACCAAGTCTCTCCTTGGAGGCAAAGATTTTGAAGCTCTACCTCACTTACTTAGGGCATGTGGCCAGGTGAAATTGGTCCTTGGGGAAGGACATCATGCTCAGAAGGGTTGACAGACAGCGCAGGAGAGGGAGACCCCAGATGAGATGGCTTGATACAGTAACTGGGGCGATGGGGATTGGTGTGTCAGAATTAGTGAGACTGGCTCAGGACAGGGAAGAGTTCAGAGCTGCTGTACACAGGGTCACAATACATCACAGGCGACTCAGTGGCACATAACAATAACATATTGTAACAGGTTTAGAAGCAGGAGAGGCATCCACTTCCTAAACAACATGCCTCCAGAAACTCTATGAACTTGGATAAATGTCGATAGTTGTAGAGGGGCTTCAGGCCTTTTGTTCACAGGGTCTCTATGAGTCATGCTCGACTTGAAGGCAATCAACAACAACTACTTGACTCATGCATCCATGTGTATGCATTCATCAAACACAATATTGGCACAAGAGACAGCTGAAAAAATTGATACTGTGGACTGCCCGAACTAAAAATCCTCGTGGCTGTCAAGCTGGAACCGACTCACAGCTGACTCATCATTAGGTTTTTGGAGGCAATAAATTGCACGGGATGTGACTGCTCATCTTTCTCCCGAGGAGCCACTTTTGGGTTCTCGGGGTAATTCTCTATGGATTAGGCCACGAGAGTGCCTTTGGATGGCCAGAACAAACAAGCAAACCTGTTACGCACATCTGTTATGTAGTAAGCAGAGCTATAATACTCCCAGAGAGAGCTGTGGGGGCCTACTAGCAAGAAGCTGCACTGCAATCCCAAAGGCATGCGGTTCAAATCCACCATCTGCTCCACAGAAGGACGGACAATCTCTTGTGCAATAAACTGCTTCTGAAAACCAGCCAGAGGGTCAGCTATGGGTCAGTTTCTACTTGATGGTACACAACAACAAAAACAACAACATATACTCTTAGAAACAAGAATACTTAGACACAGTGTCAGGAGAAACCAGACCTGGGAATAGGATGTCATGCTTGGTAAAGCAGAAGGTTCGTGAACAAAAGGAAGTCTGTTAACTGGATGGACTGATATAGTGGCTCCATCAGCAGCGGCCTGAAACATATCAAGGATCCTGAGGGTGGCCCAGGAGCAGGCAGTGTTTCATTCTGTTGCACACAGAACATGAGTCGGAGCCAACTTAACTCTGCCTGAAAGCGATGACAGACACGGAGGTGCCAGCAACTGAGGAGGCGCATTTTAGATTATCTGTCAACATAACAAATTAACTTCTCATACTCTGTTTATAGAAGCAAAATCAGCATGAATCACAAGATAATCTATTTAAGTTTAGGGAGGCCTGGTGGCTTAGTGGTAAGGAGTTGTGCTGCCAACCTGAAGGCAGGAGGTTCAAATCCATCAGCTGCTCTGTAGGCGAAAGATGGGCAATCTCTTCTCATTTGATCAGCTGCCTCTGGAAATCTGCTGGAGGATCAACTCTGAGTCGGATTTGACTCCATGATGCAGAACAACAACACTGTAAGCCTAACTGTTGATCTTGTGCAATCGCACCACACAATTCAATTTAACCTCATAGCAAATCAAGTTCTCAAACAAGGCAGTTCTAAAAACTAGTTTTTTACTTATTAATGGCCTCTGCTTCTAGTAGCAACATGAGCCAGGAGTATGAGGGGTAGTTAAGAAGGGTGCCCAAATCCCAAGGTAGCATTCTTTATTGTGATTTTAATCAAAGTTTACAGAAAAGTTGGATTTTCATTCATTCATTGTTCACTTTTTTAAAACATCCATTCATTGTTGCATAATTTCCTCTTCCACCCCCACCCCTTCCCAGTGCACTTTGCGATGTACCTCATATTCTAGACTATTGTCACACAAATAATGCCTAATCATATATTCCTTTTAAACAGTTCGTTCTTTCATCTGTTCCAATGCAGTGTTCATTTTTTATGCCCTCTATTCTTAGTTTCTCCCTAGCCCCTTGACATAAGCATTTTTAGCATTTTAGGGTGTTTGTCTTTTTTTTAGCTTTTTATGGAGGTCCTGGTGGCATAGACTGCAGTGCTGCTAACCAAAAAGATCAAACAGCAGCAGTGGTTCGAATCCACCAGTGGTTCCATGCGAGAGATGGGCAGTCTCCTCCCAGGAAGATTTACAGCTTTGGAAGCCGATGGACTGTTACTGAGTCAGAACTGACTCAAAGGCAGAGTTGAAGCATTTTGAGCAGATGCACCTTGGCTGGAAGGGCCTTCAAACAGCTTTTCGCACAACCAGGACCCCAGTCCCCCTCTTTGCTGGGATATCTCTGACCAAATAATGTTACTATGCTTTTTCCTCTTTAGAACCTCCTAATTCTCTGGATCTTAATGGTTCTCAATCTCGCCGAATCAAGCTCACAGCCCCAAATATCAACCTTTCTCTGGATCAGAGTGAAGGCTCTATTCTTTCTGATGATAATCTCGACAGCCCAGATGAGATTGACATAAACGTGGACGAGCTTGACACGCCTGACGAAGCTGACTCCTTCGAATACACTGTGCACGGTGAGTCACCGAGTTGACAAGGCCAAATCTGACAAGGTTAAGTGGCTTTACGGACAAGCCTCCTGTCTTGGTGCCTGTGACTCCTAGAAGTGTGTATTTGTATCTAAGTCCTAGTTGGCCATGGTTCATGGTTCATGAGCAGATGGGGTTCACAAAGGTCATAAGTTGCCGTACTATCCTATTGTTCATCCTGACTCTCTGCCAGGCCTTGTGCTAGGAACTAGGAGTGAAGGATGTGGTGAGACAAAGTCAGAGCTGGCTTTAAGGAAAGAGAATTTTCCCTGGAGCAAGGTAATCAGTTCTTTTCAATTCCTTGTACAAGTTTCCAATATCTGGAATGTTCCTCCCCCAGATCCTTATATATGTGATTTCTTCTATCAGTCCTTGATCAGATGTCATCTCCTCAGAGGGCTTACCTCTGAGCTTTTCTCAACACTTCCACCCACACTCTTCACCATAAAGTCACTCTCTAGTCTAGTGGCATTCATTTTCCACATCTCACAAACTGAAATAATATTATTTAACTGTTTGTTTGTTTACCTGTATCTTGCCACTAAAATATATAGCTTTATCTCCAATAAAGAAGAAAGGGAAAAGGAAAGGAAAGGAAGGCAAGGGAAAGGGAAGGGAAGGGAAGGGAAGGGAAGGGAAGGGA